TTGGAAGAAGTACAGCCAGAGTGCTCCTTGGATTCCAGGATAGCCAAACTTCGTCTCTCATACTTTGGACATATTATCAGGAGGGACCAGTCGCTGGAGAAGGATATCATGTTTGGTAAGGTGGAGGATCAGATAAAAAGAGGAAGACCCCCAGGGAGATGGATTGGCAAAGTGACAGCATCAATGAGTTCAAGCATGGCAACAATAGTGAGGTTGCCCCAGGACTGGGCAGTCTTTAGTTCTGTTGTGCATAGGATCTCTATGAGTCAGTACCGACTTAACAACACCAACAACAAAATCTTTATGGGAGTAGAAAGCCTCATCTTTCTCCCGTGGAACAGCTAGTGGTTTCAAACTGCTGACCTTAAAATTTGCATCCTGATACATAACCACTATGCTACCAGAGCTCCTTGAATAATAAATAATACTAAAGAGAAAAAATAGATATATAGGGGACAGTTCAAAAGACAGAGATTTTATTACGTTTTAAAAGGAATTCCTTTGTTGTATATTCAAACAGGCATCTGTATAGATATAATGTTGTTGTTGCTAATGCTATTGAGTTGGTTCTGACTAATGAGCCTATATAGGGCTTCTGAAGGAGTCTGGGTAACCTAAAAGGTTATGAGATGTGCTGCTAATTACAAAGTTAGCAGTTGAATCTACCAGATGCTCTGTAGGAAAGGGGGTGAGGGGTTTCTGCTTCCATAAACATTTACAGTGTCAGAAATTCTATAAGTCAGAACTGACTCCACAGCACACATCAACCACCACCATAGGGTTTCTGAGGCTATATATGCTAGATGTGGCATATAACCTTATATTTCTACCTTTGAGCAATTAGTAGGCTGGAACTACCAACTTTGTGGTTCTCAGTCCAGTGCCCAGCACACAAAACTACCACACTCTCTGTATGGGTATATGTTGTTGTGTTTTAGTGCTGTTGAGTAGGTTTCAACTCATAGCAACCCTGCATAGGGTTTCCAAGTAGTGGCTGGTGTGTTTGAACCACTGATGTATAGTTCAAACCAAACTTGCAGTCAAGTGCTTTATCCCACGGTGCCACACCAGGACTCTGTATAGGCATATGGCACACAAAAGAAGGTTTTAAAGGATTTCAAGGAAATTCATCTTGGAGAATAGTAGAAAAATGCATATGATTGTGGAGAATACAACTCTATGATAGTAATGAATTTACTTAACATTAACAGTAAATCTATGACTAATTTTGAGACAATATTATTACTTTCAAATAATCTGTGTCTTCCTCTAATTATGCCTATCTCTTACTTAATGAATGGAACACTTTTTAATCTTTCATAAAAATATTTAAGGACTACAATAATATGTTTCATTTAACATCTTGAATTTTACTAGAAGTTCAATACATATTTATTTCACATTAATTCCCTTCTTAGATACAAATTTATTGAGAACCTACTTGGTGAGGGATACTGTTTTAGTGCTGGTAAAATAGCAGAAACAAAAAGTCCATGAATTTTATATTCTTACGGGTAAGGCATTGAACAGACAACAAACCAAAATATAATTGATCAAGTGATAAGGGCTATGGAGAAAAGGAAAGCAGGAAGGGGGATAGGGCAATTGGGTGCAGGAGTTGTGTATTAGGAAAGGGTTTTAGAAAAGGAAAGCCTTCCTGTCAAAGTGAGATTGAGCAAGCTATGGATGCTGGAGAAGCCAAACTTGTAAATATCTTGGAGAGAGGAAGGTTCTGGAGATTGAGAGCAGCAAGCGTTTGACATGCAGTAACGAATGACATGCTGGGTCTTAGAGAACCAGACCCAAAGACATTGAGATCAAAGTGTTTTATATTCAAGGTAGAGAAGAAGCTGTTTCAATATGGAAGCAATTTGAGAGAAAAGATGGGTCAGCATTGGACTTGGACCTGGGAACTTGAGTAATTTATTTGGCAAAATATTTTGTCCATTGGATGCCCTTATACTTGCATGTGCACTTTTGCTTCTTCTTGATCTAGTTCCCACATCCCAAATTAGCCACCCCTTGATTGTACAAATGGTTAAGCACTTGACTACTAGCCAATAGGTTCATAGATCAATTGCACCCAGAGAACCATAGGCAACAGGACTGCTTATCTGCTTTCAAAAGTTCTTGAAAACCTTATGGAATACAGTTCTACTCTGACACGTGGGTTGCAATGAGGCATAATTGACTTTAAGACAACCAATGACAGAAGGAGCAGAAAAGAAACAATAAACTGCAAAGAGGATTTTTAGATAAAAGAAAGGTAAGATGTAG